TCTAGTTTACCCATATCAAATTTCAGCTAAAAATTAAATCGGGAAGGCAGTCAAATGATTTTCCGAAATGTACTGCGCTGTTTAACTGCGCAGTTATCTTCAAAAAATCATTTGGCTGCTTTCCCGGCTGAATTTTTAGCTAAAATTTGGTATGAGTAAACTAGACTTAATGAAGAAGATGCTCAAAAAATTTCATAAAAAAATTCCACTAGGAACCGCCCCAATTGGCGACGGCCGAGCAGAACCTCCTATATAAAGGGCTAATTGAACACTTTAAGTTAGTTCATGTACCTATTTGACCCTTTAGCCAATTGTTAATTAAGCTCATTCGCATTATCAAGGAAAATGGAACAAAAACAAATGAAAACATATTTTGGGAGCCATTTGGTTGAAACCATTAGAGCACCCACTATCCTAATCTCCTCCTCTCTCTTCCACATCATTTCATTCCAAAAATTTAACCCCCTCTAACCTATCACATTTTCTCTTCACTGTGGTCACCTAGATCACTTAAATTTTTTTCTCTCTTTCTCTCTATTTTTCATATATTCCACTATTGTTAATTTATTTAATTTGAAAAGGGAATATAAAATCCACATTTGACCCACTATAATTATTCATCATGGAAAATAAAAATAAGCATATTTAAAAAAAATTACAGTAAGACATACCGTTGAAGTTTTGTGCTAGTGGAGGAGGAAAAGAACTCTACTGACTACAAAAGGCATTCAGATCTTGTGGAAAATAGGTTATTTTTGGAGTAAACAAGAGTCCAGTATTTGATAGACGAGTAGCATGAGAATATTGTACATAATTCGAATTATTTTACAATAGTTGCATAGCCATTTCAAAATTCGGGTCAATATGATGAATTTGAAAATTTCTTATGGAAAAATGTTGTCCAAAGAGGAGAATTCCTCCATTCACATGCTACTACTTTCTTTCAAAATAAAAAGCCACTTGGTATTCTTTAATTAGCTAGCCAAAAAGAAATTGTCACCTCCCACTTTCAATCTTCCATATATAGCAAGTACAAACTAACTAGTATAGTAGGTGTCAAAAAAAGCTAATAACCAGTATAGTAATTCAGAAATCGGCCAAATGTATACAAAATTGGACGTCAATATGAAATCACCGTTAAAAGCATGTTTCTTTTCATATCCAACCCTTCAATAATGGGCTGTAGTGTTTGTAAATGTGCAAAAATGAGCAATATTTTCATCCACTTGGTATAAAATAACCAAAAAATCTGTTTGTACCCACTTTAGTACACAATTTTGTATACACTCCCCTATTTTGCCCTTGTACACAGGCAGTTCGTTAAAAAGAAGGGAATATTTGTCTCTCAAATGTACAAAGTGTGTACAAAAGTGTGTACAACAAGAAAGGTTCTAAAATTATCAATATGACGTTTGATCTATATATGTACAAATCCCAAATTTGCATTGCAATTACTCATCAAAAACGAGATGAACTCATAATGGTTAATTATTGTAAACGGTATTTTCACTCTTGAGTTTTGATATCGAAAGCTACAGTTTCTCATCCGATTAGTTGACCATTTACATCTCAGTTCGATGTCATATCGGTTTAATGTACAAAACCTCAAATTCAATTCATAACTATAGATTACATTAGTTTATTTTGAAAACCCAAAATGTAATATTGATTTTGCATTAAAAAATAATTTTGAATTTTCGAAATACTTTGGGCACTGTTCTCTTTAGCAGTGACGGAGCCAGAAATTTATGATTAAGAGGATCGAGCTTTCATAATTTTACATTGTAGGAACTAAAGTGTAAAATATCAACATATTTTCTCTAGATTCAATATACTTATACGGAGTACATAATATATAGGGTAATTCTATATACAGTCTCATTTTTACTAAATACACACACCCATTTCTATAATTCCCAATTTGCACTTCTTAAAATGAGTGATGAATCGCCTAAAAATCAAAAGAGCGGCAACGCCGGTCGCTGTCATCATCGTCCGTCCCACAGCTCTTTACTTTATTCTGCAATTTTATACACGTTCATCATATCAAACTGCTACAATCAGGTCCATCTCTACGCCTCCTATTGTTTGAAGCTTCGCACTAAATTCAAGCAGATCGATGCAATGCTCAAGAGCACTGCTCCCATCGTTGGACAGTGACGATGGCCCTGCGATGCCCAAAACCAGACACCTTGCGGTCAAGTTCTAGGCGTTTCAAAGTAGACATCCGTCGAACACCACTCTTCATAGCAGGGGATAGACTTGGACTCGGGTCGGGTCGGGTCCGGGCCGGGCCTAGGCCCGGGTCGGGTCTGAGCCTAGGCCCGGGCAGGCCACCGGTTCGGAATAGGTGGACTCGGGACCGGCCCGGGTAGCCACCGTGTCCAGTCCGAGTAGCCATCGGGTCCGGTCTGGGTCCGGATCAGGTCAGGCCGGGCCGGGCCTCGGGCTTGGTTAATTTTTTTTTGCTTACCTACCTATCCCTGACCCCCACCCCCCAAAACCCTCCTAAACATCAAGCCCAACCCGGGTGGAGCCCAAAAATGGAAAAAACAAAAAAAATCAATTTGACCCGAACCGGGCCCGGGCCCAGCCGGGCCGGGCCTCTTTTTTACCAACCCGAGCCCGCCCCACTCGCTCCTATTAACCGGGCCTTAGACCGGTTTTGGGCCCAAAGAACTGGTCTGGGCCGGTCCCGCACAGTAGTGGGCCGGGCCGGTTCCCGGGCGGGTTCCCGGGCCGGTTCCCGGGCCGAGTAGGAGTGGACTCGAGCCGGGCCAACCGGCCCGGAACCGGACCGGCCCGCTACTGTGTGGGCCCGGACCGGCCCGGTGAACCGGTTGGTTGCTCGGTTCGGGCCACCCGGCCCGGTGGGATGGCGGTTCGGGCTCGGGCCCTTCAAAAGGTGAACCGGCCCGGCCGGTTCGGGCCCGGGCTGGGCCAATTTATTATTACTTTTTTTTTGATTTTTTTTAAGTTATTGGGTTGGGTTGGGTATTTTGGGCCATTTGAGGTGGTTAGGGTTGGTTTGGGGGTGAGGGGGAGGGTTGGGGGTTAACTAGGAAAAGCCAAAAAAAAACTAGAATCGAGGCCCGGGCCGGTTCCGGGCCTCCCCTTCATGAACCGAGGCCCGGACGGGCCCGAACCGGAACCGGTCCACCCCTAGGGCCGGGTGGCCCGAACCGAGTCCACCACTAGCAAGGGGATGGTCATTTTCTACGCTCCCGCCTGGGCAACAGTTTTTCCTCGATCACTGAGAGGCTTTCCCTCTTTGGTGATGGTTGATTGTCTCTTCTCTCTCTTGAGAAACTTGAGACCGGTGGCAATCTCCCATTCTCTCACCGGCTGCTGCTCCGACAGAGCCGCCTAGTCTCCCAATAGGCGCCAAATCTGTGGATCGCCCTTCCTCTTGGCATATGTTCTCGTTGGAGAACTAGTGCACTGGCTTGAATGACCCTGTGCGGTGATGTTATCGTACCAACTTTGGATTAGAATGAGTGGAGGCTCCAGGGGAGGGGTTTGTTTAGGTGAAAGGGTAAGATAGATATTTTATTAATTTTGGGGCTGTGAATCCTGTGATTAGTAATTGTGGGAGTGTGAATAGATACTTAAGAATTGTTTTCTTGCAAGGGTCAAGGACTCAAGGCTCCCTCCTACCCCTTCCTGTCTCCGCCCCTGCTCTTTAGGGTCGTACCACAAAATAAACAATTCCTAAATTAGTACTTCGTGTGCCATTATTCCATTAACTCCTAATTTCATGCCACACTATTATAATTCTCTTACAGATATTTTGTTCACTTTTCTCCCATAAAAGTTAGGATAGAATTTAGGCAGTTTTCAAAATAATAAATTTTAAAAGGATAAAAGCTAAAAGGTAAAAAAGAAAGTGAAAAAAATGATAATGGGCCATAATAAAAGACAGTAAGTGGATGAAGAGGCCCACATGCGAAAAATTCATCAGTTAATCGACCCAAAAGCTATCAATAACCTATCATAATACACAATTACACATTACAAACATGTAGTTTCAAATGATTCCCTCAAAGTCATACAAAAACATACGTCATCCGTTCCAATTTGATGATACCATTGAATTTTACAAGGTTTGACCGACGATAAAGCAAGCGGATCCCTGTCGGCACTCAAATTATTTTTAGAGAAAACAAATTACATATTCATAAACTACATTAAAAGCTTTACAAAGTCCTAAAAATCAGAATCAAATTTGATAAAAATTCAATATATAAAGTAAAAGATTAAAAATGATTTATGTTGACCATGTGAATAAGAACTGGTACCATCAAATTGGGACAGAGGTAGTACTACGTAGTACGTATTACTATTGGAATCATCAATCATACAGTTTTTTTTAAAGGATAGGGGCCGCGCGAACGCAGGCCCCCACTCCCACAAATTAATGAATTATGACGTAGACTCCACCACTTGGGTAGACCTTAGGATGACACCCTTCCAAAATGCAATGGAAGTCATCAAGTCATCAACCCAGGGCCTAGGCCATGAGCCTTCTTGATCGCCCATCAATCATACACAGACACCAAACCCCAACAATTGCATGGTAATGAATAAAACCAAACCAAACCGAACATATCCATTAAAACAAATCAATCTAAACCAAACATATCCACTTATAAATAAAGTCTATAGAGGATGAGATATGCACACAGCACACTTGCCTCTCCTACTCTCCTAGGAACAGAGGAGCCGTTTGCATAAAGACCTCTTTGGCTAGTAGTTGTTGGTAGAGTAAACATTGCGAAAGACGGGAAAACAAGGAGATCAGTAATATACAAGAAAAACATTGGGGTTCTATCAGTCCTTCCTGAAGGCTTCTGTCAGAAAGGATTAGCAATATAACATTGAAATGCTATTAAAAGTTCAGATACACATCAATCCAAAACATATTCACCGGTGGACTTCGAGTCCATCCTGGCCCAAATTATCAGAAAGGTTGAGATAAGTATTTCTTATGTGTACACTTACAAAAGTTATACACATTCAAAACCAAGGATCTGTTCAAGCATTGCCATCCCACTCTTCATAGAACTCTTTAAGAAAATCTTCCATAACTTTGTGCCTTCTTTCAGCCCTCCTCTTCCCAGCCTGTCAATTAAAATGCATCAAACAATTGTAAAACAATGTTAAGAATTCAGATCAATTTTACAGAGATGTTCCTAGAAGCAGTCAGAAAAACCTGAGTTTTCATCAAGTCCTTCAACTTGAGAAGCTTCTCATGAAAATGGTTAATAGTTGTTTGCTCATCTTTGTTCATGTAGTTTTCCTTGGAAAGATCTGACCTGGGAAGGATTTTGGGATCATGAAGAACTCTATGCCTACTTCCACCAAATGTAAAACATCTTGCAATTCCTGAAAGTTGATACTTAGTTAAAAACAAAACAAACCTACCATATAGTAATCACATTTTGAAAGTTTTAGGAAAATGATAATGGCTGAAAATGCAACGAAAGCCTTACCCTCAACAGAAGCATCAACATGTATATATAGCAACCATTGATTACAAAGATTACAATGTGTAAATGACATGTTAAGAAGGATACACAATTCCTATAAGTGTTTCTTCATTAAAAGTTCAGTTTCAATTTATTGGGATACTAACAGTTGTTCAGTGCAGGGTTGGCGTGATATGTGTTCATCAAGAGTAAAGTCATGCAACAGGTATATATTGCAACTGAAAGTGACTAAGTTACCTATGGCACCAATTGCATCAAGTCGATCTGCATCTTGCACAACCTGAAATTCCAGTGAAGAAACACCATTTGCGTGACCTTCAAGTTCTTCTTTGAACCCTGAGAATAAATGCTAATACTTCATATGTCCCAAAATGGAGGTCACATTTACTATTATTTGGTCAAACTGCATCTCTTTTATTTCTTTATTGTCTTTAAGAAATTGAATAATGGAAGAGTCAAGTCAAATCTTGTTTCACTAAAACTTAGTGTAGTACTTCAAAACATTTAATCTTTGTTTACTAATACCTAACTTAAATACTACTCCGTACAAAAATTAAGTTGAAAAAATAACTTAAGTCAAGCCTTGTTACTCGAACCAGAAAATCAACATCATGAATATGGCTATGTAAAAAATCAACAAATGCAACACGTAGTTTAATAAAATAAAGAATAGCCTAATAAAGTAACTATTTTAGTACACCGCCATGATATATAACTTCAATAAAGCAACGTCCCTAAGAAAATTAGGGTGTAATATATTTATGAGAATAAAATACACATTTATTCAACATAATCGGTGTTTACTACAGATTCCAATCTGCAACATATTAAAACATAATATTTGTGTACATATTTTGTATTATATCCGGCATGCATAGCTGAGTACATATATTATTATTATTATTATTATTATTATTATTATTATTATTTATTGTTGTAATTATCACTTAGCAGTAGTTATCACTTAGTTGCTAGATCCTATTTTCACTCAACTGTAATTCTATATATTTGAACCCTTGCTCACATGGTGAATACATGAACAATTCATCCTCTTTATGGTATCAAGAGCCTAACTCTTAGGAGATCACATATACAATTTTTTTTCCGGTCCTACTCATGGCAGCCATCACCGAAAATACTCAGGTGATACCAATCACTGCAGCAAATTACTTTCCCATCAAACTCACCCAAACTAATTTTCCGGTTTGGAAGTGTCAAGTGCAATCTGCACTCATCGGCCTTGGACTAGAAGGCTATCTCACTGGTACTATTGTGCCGCCTGCGCCGTTTCTTGATGATGCTAAAACACGTATGAACCCGTGTTACAACATTTGGTATCGGCAAGACAAAACTCTAATCAGCGCACTGCTCGGAAGTTGCTCGGATCAAATTCAGCCCGTCATCTCTTCCGCTCAAACGGCCAAGCAAGCCTGGGAAAAACTCCAGCTCACTTATGCAAGCACCTCTCGAGGGAGAATTGTCTCCCTCAAATCTGCTCTCGGACGCATCAAGAAGGGTTCTCGCACAATCAAGGAATATTTGGCCGAGATGGAGTCCATTGCTCAAGATTTAGCACTCGCTCTAAGCCCTGTCCCGGAGGAAGATTTAGTCATAAGCATTCTGAATGGACTCGGATCTGACTACAGTGAAATCCATGCAGCCATCAGGGTTCGGCCGACACCCCTTCCACTTGCTGAACTCCAGGACATTCTCCTGGACCATGAAACCAGACTCTCCCAGCAAGACCCAGTTGATACTATTATTCCCACAGTGAATGCTATGAAATTATCACCGAGGCAAGGCTCTCAAGAACGATCATCGCCGACTTATGGTGACCGCCGACAATCTGGATCCCGTCGTGGACGCGGTGGGTATCAGCATCAGGCCCCCCGTCCATCATCTAATGTTATTTTCAAATTTTGCGATAACACAGGTCATGATGTTAAGCAATGTCGCAAATTACAACGGTTTTTGCGTGACAATCACATTCAGGTTTCTGCTAACCCACATGTCAATCATACGGCTGCTGCTACATCTTCGGATTATCAACCTTGGCTCCTTGATAGTGGGGCATCCCACCATGTTACCAATGATGCATCTCAATTGCCGCAACTTTCTGACTATGGAGGCCCGGAGGAGGTGCATCTAGGTAATGGTACGTCACTTGCAATTACGCACACTGGATCCACTACTATCCCTACCCCTACTCGCCCTCTCCATTTATCACAAATTTTATGTGTTCCAAATTTACGTAAAAACCTTATATCTGTCTCCAAGTTATGTCAAACTAATAACGTTTCTGTGGAATTTTTTGCTTCTCATTTTGTTGTTAAGGATCGCAACACGGGGGCGCCTCTTCTGCGCGGGGAGAACTTTAATGACGTGTACTATGCACCTTCCCACCTTCCACCGCAAATTCATGTGTCTCAAGTTTCCAGTCCATCCATTTGGCATCATACATTTGGTCATCCGTCCTCTAGAATTTTTCATTCATTAGCTGCTCAGAATAAAAATTTAATTTCTTGTAGTTCATTGTCCTCTTTCGTGTGTAATTCATGTCTTATTAATAAAAGCACGAAATTACCTTTTTTTACGAATTCCATGAATGCGTCCAAACCCCTACAACTGATATATTCTGATGTTTGGAGCACAAGTAATACCTCTGTTGATGGATTTCGCTATTATGTAATCTTTGTAGATTTTTATTCACGTTACATATGGCTTTATCCATTAAAACGTAAATCTGATGTGTCAATCATTTTTCCTCAATTTCATAGATTGGTGGAAAAATATTATCAATCACCGATTGTTTCCTTATTTACGGATAATGGTGGAGAATATATTAAGCTGCGCCAATACCTAACTTTGCATGGAATTTCCCACTTTACATCCCCACCGCATACACCCGAACACAATGGTATTTCTGAGCGGCGTCACCGGCATATTGTAGATACGGGTCTTGCTCTTTTACATTTTGGCAGGCTACCTATCACTTACTGGTCTTATGCTTTTCAAACTGCGGTGTACCTTATAATCCGTCTTCCTACACCCAACTTACAACATCGTACCCCCTATTTTCTTCTCCATCAGTCTACACCCAATTACAATAAATTACGTCCATTTGGGTGTTTGTGTTATCCATGGTTACGCCCGTACACTTCCTCCAAATTAAATCCCAGATCTGTTGCTTGTGTGTTTCTAGGATATTCTACTTCCCGGTCAGCCTATTTATGTCTTGATGTTAAGACGGGTCGAATTTATACGTCTCGTCACGTAAAATTTGTGTATCATCTTTTTCCCTTCCGATCTGAACTCATGCATGTACACGCCACTAAGGACCCTCCCTGCACTAGTCAACGTCCCATCCTTAAATCTCGGTCATCTCAACAAAATTTGGAGCAAAATACTCCTCGGCCAACTCCACCAAACTACCAACCCACCCTAATTAATACCTTACCTAATCCTACGCAACCCACAATACCTACTTCATCATTATCCCCTCTGCCAACCTTATCAAATCAACCCAACATGCCAGCTATTCCATCATCTCCTATACTGACCTTATCCTCTCCCCACACCCCTCTCCCCAACCAAACCCCTCCCTCAGCACATAATTCCACGCCCACAAATCCTAATCCTACTACTCTTCCACAATCCACCCAACACGACCCCACACCATCCTCTTTACCTTCGCATACAACCAATATTATTTCCTCTCCCGTAGATGCTCCAGACCATGAATCCTCCACTCCAGAATCATCACCCAATATACCTGTTCGTCCCATTAGGAACAGAAAACCCAACCCCAAATTTCTTGGGGATCCCTTCATTAATTCTACCACCACTCATCCTCTACCTTACACCCCTGAACCCACCAGTGTGCGTGCTGCAACATGTGACCCCAAATGGCGAGCCGCAATGCAGGAACAATTTGATGCTCTTAAACGCAACAATACTTGGGAACTTGTTCCCCGCAATGCTCAGCACCCAATATCGTGCAAGTGGTTGTTTCGTATTAAACGAAACCCTGATGGCTCCATTGCCCGATACAAAGCCCGTTTGGTGGCTCGTGGGTTCCTTCAGCAGCCCGGGAAGGACTATTTTGAGACATCCAGTCCCGTTACAAAACCTGCTACGGTTCGTATTATTTTGTCTCTTGCGCTGGCAAATAACTGGCCGCTCCGGCAACTTGATGTTAACAATGCGTTCCTCCATGGAACGTTATCAGAGGAAGTCTATATGACTCAACCCCCGGGGTTTGTGGATCCGGCTTTTCCTAAACACATTTGCATACTTCGCAAAGCTCTTTATGGGCTGAAGCAAGCTCCTCGCGCATGGTACATGGAGCTGTCCAACTTTCTGGTTACTTCCGGATTTCGAAAATCTCGAGCCGATGCCTCCCTATTTATCTATACTCATCAACATACTCGTTTGTATTTCCTTGTATATGTTGATGACATTGTATTGACAGGGAATGATTCCAAAGATCTAAATCACTTTGTCACTCAGCTCATGCGCAGATTTTCTGTCAAGGATCTTGGTATGCTTCATCATTTCTTGGGTATTGAAGTCATACCAAATGCTACTGGTTTGTTTCTCACGCAGAGGCAGTATATTTTGCATATACTTGAATCATGTCGCATGGAAGGTGCCAAGGAATCCTGCACACCACTCGGATCCACATCACTAATTCCACTGGAACATGACACTCCTACGGATGCCACTCAGTATCGTCGCACCCTAGGCCTACTTCAATATCTGTCTTTCACTCGGCCGGATATTTCATTTGCGGTAAATAAATTATCACAATTTATGCACTGTCCTAGAGCAGTGCACTGGCAGGCTGTTAAACGAGTGCTTCGGTACCTAAAGGGCACCATTAATTATGGGTTGTTTCTCAAAAAGTCTTCAGGGTTACATTTATCAATCTTCTCCGATTCAGATTGGGGCGGTGCTGCTGACCAAGGAAGGTCAACTACGGCCTATGTTCTATATCTTGGCTCCAACATTATTTCATGGAAATCTGCAAAGCAAAAATGTGTCTCTCGCTCATCTACAGAAGCTGAATATCGAGCTGTGGCTAATGCTAGTGCTGAACTTCTTTGGGTTCGAAATTTACTTCTTGAGCTTGGGATTCGGTTACCTACCACGCCTACATTATTCTGTGATAATCTTGGTGCCACGTATGTATGCGTTAATCCAGTGTTTCACTCCCGTATGAAGCACTTAGCATTGGATTATATTTTTGTACGAGAACTTATTGAAGCGGGTCAACTCACGGTCAAGCATATATCTACAAAGCTTCAGATTGCAGATATACTTGCTAAGCCATTGGGGA